CTAAAAACAGGGTCTTCGCTCGAGCGCAACTTCTTTCGCTCGAACGGGAGTTCAAAAATAAAAGTGGTTGCTTGAGCGCAACTTCTGTCACTCGAGCGGTCTGCAAACTTGGCAAAAGTACTGGTTGCATGAAATTTCCGCTCGATGGTCGCTCAAACGAAAGACTGAGAAAAAGGGGTCCTCGCTCGAGCGCCACTTTGGCCGCTCGAGCGGCTTGTAAACTTTTGTAAAACTCCTGGGAGCTCGATTTTCACGCTCGAGCGACACTTTCTTCGCTCGAGCGGACTGGTCGAATTCTGGAATTTCCAGAACTGTGTTTGAAGTTCAAATTTGGTATTCAAAAATTCTAAACTCGTGTCTAAGGTACAAAAACATGGGAAAACATTATAAAACATGGAAACATAATTAATTTGAAGCCATTTGCTCAAAACCATGGCAATTTCTCAACCAAAAACTTCAACTTCAAGTTATAAAGAAAAATTGACTCAAATTGAGTATATATATCTTCAAAACGTGATCAAGTGATATGAGAAGTATGAAAACATAAAGGACTCTTCAAATTAGGTGTAAAAGTGCCATGCATGTAGAAATTTCATGAATTCTAACTCAAATTATGTATGCATGTACATGATTAACTCTTATCTTCCCAGTTTAAGGTGATTCAAGCTTCCACTAAACAATTTCATGCAAATGAACTCAAAACTTGGATGAATTCAACTTCTACATGTTTTGTTTACTAGGATTAGGGTTGAACATCATACCTAAAGCTTGAATTCAAGTGTCTTATAGTTTAATCCTCCAATTCTCCTTCAATTCCTTCACAATTCTCTTCTCTCTCGCTCTCTAGTGTTGAGTTAACTCTCCTATTTTCTCAAAATCTCAGCCAGGTGTGTGTACATATGAGTATATAAGCTTATTTGACCTATTTATATGGTGTGATTAGCTAGCCTAATCAAGTATGATCAAAGTTAAGTAATTAGGCTCAATTCTAACTAATTTCAATTAGTTTATTCTAATTATTTTGATCCGAATCAATTTTCAATTAAAGTTGCAGTAAAATTCTAAATATTCTAATTAGTCTATTAAGTTAATCAATTTCAGTTTCTGAAGCCGTCTTAACTGTCAATATATGTCTTTAAGTTGCCAATTCGAACAGATATTCCACGTAATAACAGATAACTATAAAATTAAGCATATGATCACACAATTAAATACATAATCATGCAATTAGACTTATTGAAATATTGTAATATAATAGTTCGGTGGTCAGGGTCGCCACAGTTCGATTGTGAGAGAGAAGAACAGTGTGTGAGACAGTGGGATTTGTGAGAGTGAGATATAAATGTAAGAATGAGAGAGACGGACCATGACGGAGATATGAGTATGAGAGAGTGAGATATGTTATGTGACTTTTCTTTTTCTTTTTTTTTAAGTAAAACACGGAAAAAACAAAAAAAATTGCATTTTTTTGAAACGATGTTGTATAAACGCTATTGTATGCCAATTTTCTTGTAGTGTGCCCAACACGTACATAAGCACTCAAAGTTTGAGGGAGGAAAAATTATCTTCTCTTTTTAGCATTCGTTTGGAAGCTGGGTTAATTTTTTTAATTTTTTTTACTTTTATGAGAGAAAATTATGGTTTAAATATGACATTATGTTTTATTAACTTTTTAATCTATTTATTTTTTTGTAACTATTTTAACCCCATGCCAAACGGAGCCTTAGGCCAATTTGAGATTAAGATTTTTTTTGGTTAAAATGTTATAAAAAAAAATTTTAAGTAAAAATGTTAAATCTTAAGTATCGACCATTCATTTTTTTTCTTTCACAATCATCTATTGAGCTAAAAAAAATTATTCCAAGCAACTAATTTTGCCTCATCTCATAAAAAATCAAAAAATAAAAAAAAAAAATTTCCAAACAAGTTGTTAATATTTTACATACACTTATAGAGGATTATGTGAGTGTGTAAAATTATTTAAAAAATTAAGGCCTTGTTTGGCAAGTGAATATTTTAGCTTAAAAGTTAAAAAGTCACTAAAAAAATTAAAAAGCCAACAACCTATACAAAAAAGTCAAAGATTTTCTTTTCTGTCTACCTTTTGCACATCTTTTCATAAAAAAATCAAAAAGTCATTCCAAACATACTAATTTTTTTTTACCTCATATTTTAACCAAAAAACCAAAAAGTTACTAAAATAACCTATTACCAAACGAGCCCTAAGTATATATATAATTTTTTTATGCGACATTTACACACAAGTCTCATTTTATTTGCTCAAATGTATGTTATCTATTCATTTTTTGTATGTCATGGGAAAACAGAATTTTAGGTATACTTGATTCTCAATGTTCCTAGCTTAAGAGAGTGATAAATGAAAATTATTCAAACAAAACATTATTTACACCGTGCATACACTAGTATATATATATATATATATATTTGGTCCAACATCTAAGTTGAGCTAGAGCTTAATTATGAAGTTTTTGAAAAGAGGATAAAAAGTCAATTTTTAACTTTTTATCCATTTTAAATCACATTACTCCTCATAATTTTTTACTCATAAAAAGATAAAATAAATTAAAAAATATTAAAAAATTAATTTTTTACTAACTTGTCAAAACACTCCTATGTGGTGGGCTTTAGGAGACGTTATTGGTTAATTTCAGCACACCGTCAAGTCATATTTCATATCAAAAATGTTTGAGGGCCCGAAATACTGTTGGCTCAAATTGGCTCGAAACCCAAAACGACGTCGTTTTGGGTTTCGAGCCAATTTGAGCCAACAGTATTTCGGGCCCTCAAACATTTTTGATATGAAATATGACTTGACGGTGTGCTGAAATTAACCAATAACGTCTCCTAAAGCCCACCACATAGGAGTGTTTTGACAAGTTAGTAAAAAATTAATTTTTTAATATTTTTTAATTTATTTTATCTTTTTATGAGTAAAAAATTATGAGGAGTAATGTGATTTAAAATGGATAAAAAGTTAAAAATTGACTTTTTATCCTCTTTTCAAAAACCCCATAATTAAGCTCTAGCTCAACTTAGATGTTGGACCAAATATATATATATATATATATACTAGTGTATGCACGGTGTCAATAATGTTTTGTTTGAATAATTTTCATTTATCACTCTCTTAAGCTAGGAACATTGAGAATCAAGTATACCTAAAATTCTGTTTTCCCATGACATACAAAAAATGAATAGATAACATACATTTGAGCAAAAGGATCCCCTTTATTATAGACACAACTTCAAAATAAGAGGAACAATAAAATGGTATTCTCCTTTTCGAGCACACCATGCCAATGCGAAAATAATATTCTTGATCAAAATCTAAATAACAAACACCTCCAAATGTCTACCTCTCAAACCAAACCAAATCTATATAAATTTACACAACGTCAATCAATCTACCTCAAAATAATCTTTAACTTTATACAACGTCAATCATTTTCAAAGTTTGTCAATCATAAAACCAAAAAAGTGTAAATTATGCCCTCGAGATTGTTGCTCACTCGAGATTGCCCCTCTTTCAACACTCATCAATCAAAGAAGTACACGTTTAGTTTACACAACAATAAATACAAAATCATTAGAGAGATAAGAAAAACTTAAGCTTAAAAAAATGTAGACCTGTAAAAAAGGAGTCAATATTACCATTCGCTTCTAGTCTTCAATTCAAAAAGCCAATATAAGTCAACATTACCTATAAAATACAGAAAAAAGCCAATATGATAATTAAAAGAGACTATCCAATTCAAAATAAACATATGCGCTGTCACACTAATGAAAAGTTTTTTATAGACCACCCAATTCAAACTAAACACAAACATTGTTGCAAAATAATAATTGGTTACCCAATGCAAACACTACGAACAAACACAACACATTGTCAACACAGATACAAATTAATGATTGATAAAAACATTAATTTACAAAAAGCAATCAATCTTTTCTTTGGGTTTTATTTTTTTCAACTCTTTCTTTTTGGAACTTCCTTTAATTGATCATATAAAGTTATGGGGAAAATTTAAGAAAGAAGTGTTCTGAAGAAAGAATTTAATAAAATAAAATTCAAAAAGCAAACTCTTCACATGGTAATTCAACAACAAATTCTAACTAACTTAATTCCTCCATCATTTACAAATCAATACAGCCTAAAAAACCCCATTTATTTTGTCCAAAAACCCAAAGCCATTAATTATATCAATTTAGTCCTATCAGTTTTGTGTATGTAACCCTCCATCACCTTCTTCAATCTTCACCTAGACCGATTCAGATTCATTTTGCTTCCAACCTTAAATTAATTTTGAATATTTGTTAGCAATACATGACCATAAGCAAAATATAAAACCAACTCCTTTGGATCTATTTGGTTAGCTCATGGGTGGCAACAAACAAAATTTAGATTGAAATTAAATAAACTATAAGACTAAACTGATATAATAAAATTCAATAGATAAAACAACAAATCAACAACATACAGTAAGGGGACAATTGTTTACAGGGTCTTAAAAAAGTAATAGGCAATGCAGAAACTATATATATATATTTTTTTTATCACAGCTTACCAATCCCCACTCCCAACTAAAGGGGAAAAAAATAGAAAAACACAAAAAGCCCAATAAATATAAGAAAATCCATATCAGTATTTAAAGAGTATTTAGCAAACTCAGAAGTATTTATAGATCCGTATACATTTATGAGTATTTAGCAAACAATAGCAAAACTCATAATATAGAAAAACCCATTTTATAAACAAAAAATTAGTACCCATTTCAAAAATTAACACCCATTTCTCATTAAAGAATCAAACATTTCATTAACTCTGTGTGTGTGTGTGTGTGTGTGTGTGTGTGTGTGTGTGTGTTGAGTCAGTACCTTTGAGACCCAAAAATAGTACGAAGTGTCTGGTTCATCCTCCTCAGTCACAACATATAAAAAAGAAAAAAGAAAAAAAAGTTACTAAGATTACTTGCCTCCAATTCTTAACTAATGTCTGATTCTCTACCCTTTCATGAACTTTCTCAATAAGTCATCCTCTTTCTCCGAGGCCAAACACTATTCTTCTCTCATTGAACCAGTTTCTGCTCATCATCTTCCAAAACAGCTTGGCATGCAGAACCGGAATTAGAGGTTAGCGATATTTAGATGATTGTTTAAACACCTCTTGGCATAATGTTGTTTTAAATTGGGGTTATGTTCCTGACAGAAAATTGACTATATGGTCAAGAATTATGTGATAAAATATTGAATTTGGTTTATAAACATGTCTATTCTAAGCAAAAGGAGCTTATTCTAGCTTGAATGAAACAGAACTTTGATATTTGTTCATAACTATGTGATCTCAAAAGTACTGTACGCATACCTTATTTGTTTGTTAGAAATCAAAATCTAATTTTGGAAATGGCTGTGAAATTATGTTATTTATTTTTGAGTTGAACAGAAAGGTCTGGAACCATTATTCTAATATTGCTTTCTTAGTTGGAGAAAATTGTGGCCAAAATTGCCCATTGATGTTACAGGGCGTCTGGGTTATTATTAGACCAAAATGGGAGCAATCCCTCTGGATGTCTTTTTATTCTTTATTTTTTATAGCAACACTCTGAGCTTTTCTGGATTCTGATTTCATTCTTGTTTTGAGAGGGAATTGGAGTTTAACATATCCCTCAATACTGTCTCTCAAGGCATTTGTGTCCCTCTCAAATGTAACAAATCCCTTACTGCCAAGTATTTGTAAGTGTATTTCTATTATAAAAAGTGGTTTTTATTCCTATTATGTATTCCTAAAATGAATGCATACCTTACACTTCCATGTATTATTTTTGTGTGTTCCTGTTATGTTGATGCAGAATCTATAATGTCTATAATGGCCATAAGTTATGGCAGTTTGTGTGTTCCTGTGTTCCTGAAGGCACTGACAACAATTTTTTTGATATCATGTGCTACGAAACTCAGTGGTAATAAATCAATTCAAAATGATAATATTACTCCGATTTAAAACTTCACCTATAAGAAACTGAAATTGTTTCTACACATTGAATTAGCGAAAGCATTTATAAATTTCAAATATCAAATTTTAAAATTAAAGTCCAAAAAATGAATTATATATTTCAATGTAACATAAGCAAAGAATCTAGAAATATTAAAAGTCCAAATAGCAAATTTTAGATTTTTATCCACGTCAAAATAACACATATACACTATAGCAAGTTAGAATGGGATAACCTTCAATAAAAAAACATTATTGAATTAGTATCATAACTGGTAACGTTTTTGCATTATCAAATTTCAATGCCTTCAAATAAAGGTCAATGAACATTTTGGTACAAAACAATCATCCTAGCTAACCCAAAAAAAATAAATTTAAAAAAATTAATCATTTTGTTTAGAATGAGAGAGCCAACCAACCACACACATGTAGAAGCAACGTAACCCAACGTTTCTAATATGGATCAGTCAGCTGCAATAAAATCAATCGTTTAAATTCGCTTTAAAAAACCAATAGCTATGAAAAATTACATCAAAATACATATGAGAAATTGGAAGAAATTATAATGAAGAATAATTGCATCAAAAGAAACTGTAGTATAAAAAATAGCATCAAAATACATATGAGAAATATGAAAATCAATAGTTATGAATTAAGAAGAATTGAATATAACTATTATGGTCAATTGAATTATGTCATTCAATGGCGAAGTGAAAATAGACATATGTATGCATTACTAAAGTAAACAAATGAATAGAAAAGCAAATAAATCATACAAACCTCCAAATAGAATTAAACTCAAATTTTCTAAGGGGAGCGAATAATTAAACTCAAATTTTATTAAGACTAAGTGTCTTGTTATAAGGAAGAAGAATTTTTGAAAGCTGTAAAACCAAACAAAATTAAATTTTAAAACAATTAAAGCTTACCTTGTGCGAAGATCCTTTTTTGGATGATCATGCTCCTTTGAGTTTCTATCCCTGTGATAATACATATCTCATTTTCTAGTTGAAGCATTATGCATAACAATTAGTAGGCAACACAAAAAGAATCAAACTTGAAATCAATGTTAATGGACAAATCTAACTAAAATTAAACCTAAGGTTCATTAAATAAAATTAACTGTACTATTTTTTTAAACAAAGATCACAACCAAATACTTATAAAAGATACTTACCACAACTAAAAAATGAAAGAGAGAATGAAACTGAATGAAACGGAACAGTTAGAAAGAGAATGAGAAAAACATAATTAATACTCCAAATGATATAAATAGAATAGTTACATAGGGGAACTAAATTAAACAAAATAAAGATAGGTTTCCGAAAATCAGTACATGAAAATTGATTTTAGAAAACTCATTTAGAAACCCATTATAATAATTGCGTTGGTTCATTTATCATTTTCATATTTTTGAAATCAAAACCATTTAGAAACACATTTAAATCTAACCCAATTTAAAAAATCATTACATGAAGATAGGTTTCTAAAATCTAAACCATTTCAAAAATTCATTACATGAAATTCATGGCTTTTCCTCACCTCATACCCAACACCACCTTTGCCTCAAACCAATTAATTGGCCTGCCTACTAAAAAAAAGAAAAGAAAAAGGGATTAGTTAGTTTGCATGCTTTGTAGGTGATTGATAACATGCTAGTTATTAAGTGAGGATAGAGAAAAGTGAAAAAATAAAACTTTATTATAAGCACGCCCAATAAAACTTAAGAATATAAAACTTTATTGATAGCCCGTGCCTGAAGGCACGCCCAGTAAAACTTAAGAATATATTTTAATTTTATTAGACATTTGGTTTCTATTAACAGAAACCAAAGTGTAAGCTTCACATCAACACTGAAGTGTAAATCGCCTGCTAAACAAAGCACACAAACCAAAGCTATTGTACACATGTTAATGCTTTATAATCCCAAAAAAAAAAAAAAAATTACTAAACACCAGATAAAGCACACCAGCAAGTGTTTTGCAATCCCACAAAAATTAAAACTAAACACCAAACAATGCACACCAACCAATACTCTGCAATATAAAAATATTAAAATTAAAATGGACACCAACCAATACTCTGCAATTCAAAAATATTAAAATTAAAATGAGCATTAGTTAGTGCTCTACAATCTCACCAAACAATGTACATCTCCTAGTGCTAGTACTGCCAATCACATTTTAACAGTTCTTTGCAAATTATAAATCCGAAATATAGTGAGAAAAATAGAGAAAAAAAAATGCACTGCTATAATTTTTTTAACCACAAAGCACTCCCATATAAAGACCGCTTAAATGGTGAAATTTACTCTCTAAAAAAAATAAAAAATAAAAATCCCTAAAAAATAGCCAAATTAAAAGGATTCAAAAAGAATAAGTCAGATGGATTAAAGTCATTTTGAAATAAAAAATAACTAATGTTTGGCTATTTCCAAATCACGTCACATAGTAAGCAACGAACTTTCTAACTGCTAAAAAATATGCTAATTCTTGTGGTACCTGCTCCCATGTTCTTCACCTTTTTTCCTCATCTACTTTTACTATCTTCTCTAAAGCACTAGATAAAAAATAAGCACACATTTTCTCTTACCAATTGAATCATATTTTGAAAAAAATGAGCTCACATGTAGCAAGAACAATGGGATAACAAAAACAATACACTATGATTTTGTTAGCTTTTATTCCAATGGGGATTAAAACAAATGTGATAGAGACGGGGAAGGGAAAAAAACATTTGCAATTTATAGTTTCTCTGTAAATAAAATGGATATAAACCAAAAACCCAAATAAATTCAAAAGAAAGAAAGATAAAGGAGAGAAGAGGAGGAGAGGGGTGGAGTGAAAAAAAAAAAAGCACAAAATACCAAAAGATCCAACAAAAGACCCAATACGTAATAGACCCCAAAAAAATAAATTTTCTAAAATTTTGAGTAGTGAAATAGATATAATAAAAAACAAAAAAATCGCTTATAGTTTATACCTTTGATTATATCGAAAACCCATAAATTGATGACCTACAACAAAAAGACACAACACAACATGAAAATGGCGGAAAAAAATAAACTGAAATTTAGGAAAACTAATTGTTAAAGGGAGAAAGGCACTCCCATATACACTTTAAATCGAAAATATTAACAAAGAAATCGAAATTGTTTCCTAAAAAGTGGCCAAAGTAAAAGGCTTCCAGAGCCATCCAATAGATAATTTACTTGTGACTAAAGCCATTCCCAAATATATTCTAATCCAAACTTAAACCAATGCCTTATAGATAGAGCGTAACTTTATGGTAACTGTTACATAAAAGAACAAGTCAATCCAATAAAACATAGCCCAAGAAATATAATTCTGACAAAACAAAATTCTCAGACCAATCTCAATGTAAAATGCAACTACTCCCAAGTCTTTTTATTAGTCCCAGCAATAATATATCCCAGAAAAACCACCACTCTTCAGGCTATCAAATATCAATACAATTTACCATTAAAAATCAGCATATGTATTGATTAAAAATCAGCATCCAATTGTGCATGTAGTGACAACAACCCAATAGACTTCATGTGTGAAATAATGAGAAAAAGAGAGGGCTAACCAAACCAAAAAGAGAACGCTGGTTTAAAAATTAAAAAAAAAAAATGAAGTTTTTCAATTTATGTCAACAATAAGAAAATTTAAAACTATGTCACACTCGATTAAAACTATTTCATAAGAGTCTTCAATTTTGTAGAGCATAAGCAAAGATATATTCACAATAAGTTATAAACACCAAACAAAGCACACCTGTATTGGCCTACTGCTACTAATCACCAATGAGATTCAGCGGTCCTGAAGAAAAAGAAAAAAAAAATATAGAGAGAGAGAGAGAGAGAGAGAGAGAGAGAATAAGAAATGAACCATAGCAACTACAAAAATACACTTTCAGTTTATAAGAAAAATTTATAGATAAAATTTATAAAATCATTCAGTAGAAAAGAACCATGCTCATCTTTAGAAACTTTACACTAAAATAGGTTATGCATGCTCCAAAATATAATGATTGAAGAACCAAAAAGTAATGATTGAGGAACCATACCATTTGTGATACATTTTGTGTTCCCATTCCTACTTGGCTTTCATTTTCTTTTTTGTTAAGACACCTTAGCCTTTTCTTTTTCCTTTTAAAAAAGAAATAAAATTTATTAACAAAATAAAAAGAAATAAATTTAATAAGCAAAGAAGTTTGATAAGTGGACTTACCCAATGAACACAGAGGACATTAAGGTCCCGCTCATCGTGGATTGCAACGCTAACATTTCAATCTCGAAAAAATTGAACCTGTATATAGTAGGAATTTACACAGATGTAGAGATAGCTATAGAAATTGATATATAATTAAAACTCAAAGCACTTATAATACCTAAAAAGCAAACAATTCAACAACAGCAACAGCAACTCAAAGTCTAATGAACCACCAACAGCAGCACAGCAACCACAGCAGCAAACAACTCAACAATAGCAACAACAACTCAAAACCACCACAGCAGCAGCAGCATAATCAAACAGAACAGAGCAAAAAAAAACCCAAAAACCAGAGCAAAAACCCCAGCAAAACAACACACAACATCAGCAAAAATTAGCAGAATTGAGAATGAAGACCCAAGACAACTCCTGAGTTATTAAAAATTGAAAACAACTCCATTAATTGAGAATGAAGCTCCACTGATATGAAGATTTCAACCAAATTGCCACTCACACCTTGAAACACATCACAAATCAGTAGAAAACACCAGCACCCAGAAACAGCCAACACCAACAAACACGATAGAGATGGGCGACAGAGAATAGAAATCTAACAGACAGTGGAGCTTATCTAAATACAGAGAAAGCAATTTTGGCAGGAAACCGTAAATTATATACACAAAAAAAAAAAAAAAAAAAAACATGAAATTGCTTTATGTGTGGTTTGTAGTGATTACACTTTTCAAACATTTATCATAATACAATGTAATAAATAATAACAACTCTCAAAGTGGTACCTTTCATTCACATAATTAAAAAGACTAAACAAATTAAATATGTGTTATATGAACCCAATTTAAATTGATTCTAAATTATGGCTTTTGAATCAAATTTCCACCCATAACTAAACATGCCCCAAATATATACAAAACTAAACCCAATAAGTTTTACCTCAAGTCATGATTTTACTATCAAATCTCAACACAAAAATTCTACTATGAATTAAATTGAACACTGTTCAATTTGTAAATTTTCAGAAAATAATTATTCATGCATAAAAACTTCATAAAATTTTCGTAAGTAAGGTCTTCAACTCAAGAGACACAAATTTCACCCTGAACATGTGTGACAAAAAAAGAACTATTTTTTTTTCAATTATCATAAACCCATTTACAAATAATCTTTTAATATAAAGCAAATATCACTAATCACAACTATTCAATTAAATTATGTAATGATTATTAAAAAAAATTCGAGTCATTACACTTTTTCTTCCTCTTCTTTATAATTTTCTGGCACTTCTAACCTCTAAAGCCACAAAACCAGATCTTTATGAACCCCTATTGAACTTTCAAGCTTGGTATGGTGTCTTCTTTTTACTTCTATAAGTTATTTGGCTGTAGCTCAACGCAGGGGTTTTGGGGGACAAATTTGAGGGCACTGATTCTACTCTTTTTTTGAGGGCACAAATTTATGGGATAGTTTGTTATGTTTCCTCTATTTTTTTTTTTGGTTTCTGAACCTTTTTAGGGGATTCCATTATTTTTATTTCTAGGGATTGAAGAGCAATGTGTGGTTTGTAGTTTGTAAAAAAACATGAAATTATTTAATAAACAAAACTTTAATTACGATCTGTAATGAAGGAGAAGAAGAGAGAGAGAAGGGTACAAAATATCAAACCCAAATCAGAATCTTCATAAGTTGATGCAGAATCTGTAATGAAGGATTCCATTATCTTCAAAATATCAAACCCAATTATTTAATAAACAAAACTTTATACAGGGGCCATTATAGACATAACAGGAACGTACTGTCAAAACATACTGTTTATGATGTAGAATCTTCATAAACAGGGGCCATTATGGACTGCGATCTTTTACCTCATGTATTTCGAACCTTCTTGTCGGGAACGACGGGGTAGGGCGTCGGCGTGGCGGGACGACGATGCCCTCCTCTTTCTGAATCGAAGAATGTATGGGTTTGTTGCGAAACAAAGGCCTAAAATGGGGAAGGGTGATGAAGGAGCAGGAGATGAAGGGAGGAAGACAGGAATAGAGGGTTCAAGTTTGGGTCTCCGGCGAGGGAGAGGAGAGGTGGTCGGTGGTCATCGCAAGAGAAGAGAGAGTAGCGTATGAAAGAGATAGGAGGAAGAGAGAGATGTATTCAAGAACAGAGAGGGAGAGGGAGAGGGAGAGGGAGAGAGAGATAGAAAGGGAAGGTGGGGAGGCAGACATGGGTAGGTGGAGAGAAGTCTTGGGCGGGAGATATTTTGATCTGAGCCATTGATATGAATTTGGAATTAATCTCAGCCATTGAATCCAAATGTATCTCACATACATTTTTATACATTTTCAAAAACTCTCCTCCCTTATTATATAGATATATGTACATTTAAATAAATAAAAATGAATTGAGTTT